TAGAACACGTAACAAAAAATAATTAAAATTATACGAGGACCTTGGCTTGTTACGAATTATATTTGAAGTAGACTCATTTGACTAAACTTGTTTATGTTATGGATTATGGGAAAGAAGTACTTTACAACAAACTTCTTTTTTATATATAATATAATATGAACCAGTTTAGACAAGTTTTAAATCAACAAACACATAACTCACACCCGTAACCTAGAGGGATAGGCAGAGACTACGGACTTCCATTAGGACTGCCTAATACACTTCTATCGCTTCTATATTGACACATCTACGCAGACATGTTCGTCGGGTACTCGTAATTGCTATTATTTCATCTGTTCGCTTTTCAGAGCATTGGCTAAAACTGAAAGTGGCCTTAATTATCGTCGACTTACGAAACGGTACTTCAGGAAGACTTCTTCGGAAGTAAACGTACCTAAATAATGTTCTAATTTATACAGGGTGTCCCGCAATAAACGATAATATGAAACCTGCTAAAATAACATCTATAGAAGGCTCAGAAAAACATAAAACTATTCTTAATAAATTAGCTCTTTTATTACAATTACGACTACAGTATCAAATTAATTAAATTTTGTTGTTTTTAGGGTCATATTAATCCTCATTAAGAAAAATGGATACACTTGTGAACATAATTGTACGGTAGAGTATGTTATAATTTTTTTAAAGTTTTGTATTTTACGAACCCTCTTAAATATATTTTTAATCACTTAATTGTACTATTAGGATTTTCAGGACTATCCACTAGTTGTGGTACATCCTGTATATTGTGTTTATATGCTGCCAATATTTGTTGACATTCAAAAAGGAGTGGAATTAGTGAAATCTTCGTAGCGAGATTTCTTTTGCGTTTAAATAACTTTTACTTACCTATTTAATTGTATTGAATTGTATTTGACGTAGGAAAAATGTACTATGTACTCAATAAGGTCAAATAAATTAATTTTAAACATATACCAAGTAATTTGCGTAAGCAATAATACAGAAATGAAGACCGTTTAATAATGGACATTTTAAATAATGATTTAGCAATTTACCTGCGTATAGCATTGCTAATTAGTATTCTCACCTCCATTGTGTGATATAAACGAAATACGAACGATACTTGATCGATTAAATGAAATAAAAAAAGTAATTGAACGTCCTTATTCAAGGACAACCAAAACTATTTGATTTCTACAAGTAACTATTATTTCTGTCTGTATCTTTGTTTAACAGTGGTAGAGTCCGCTTTATCATCTTCGCACGAATTGGCCCGGCTCGCCCGGTGAAATGTCACGACCACACAGAAGACAGGCGTCAAGTGGAAGCAATTCCGCGTTTCGTCTGATGAGTGTGCGTCCCGGAGGCCAAAATTAGTACTCTTTCCCTTCCCACCCTTTTTCTTATAAGAAAAGGATGGGAAGTGAAAGTGGACTTTCCAGATGGGAGGATGCATGGAAAGGGAAGATATTTTCTTTCTGTGCATCCTCCCCTCCGTCGATTAAAGGTAGGCAACGCATATGCAATTGCGTATGTCTATGGGCAATGGTCACTTCGCTATTTCAGCGATTTCAGGTGGCCGCTCGCTCATTTGCCACCTTGTGATATAAAAAAAAAACAAAGATTAAAATATTAAAAAAAATCTGCATAGTATTTCTTGATGTAAAATATTTATTTTTATGTAAAAGTGCATCAAATGTCAAGGATGGCGCGACAATCCAACCGTGGCAGCGCCGGAAGTTATAGCTCACTACAGATGTGCTCTCTTGTTTTAGCGAATAAAGGTGGATTTCCATGGTGTCTGAATCGGACAGACGCATGGCGCACCATAAAAACTTTGTCTTCTGTGGTAGCGTAATGTAGTGACAAGTATCCATCAGATCTGCGTGGCACGGTTACAGAGTAAAATTGTTAGAGGATGGAGAACAGTCCATCTCAGTCCATAAAATTATGCACCGTAAAAGCCCGCCTTAATACCTAACATAATTCTTAACATTTTCCTTTTACGTAATTACTAATGGAAAAAGTTATTTTAAGCAATAATTAAAATTTAATTTTCCTTCTTAAAAGTACTTTATTAAAAAAATATATATTATAATAACAATACTGCACATAGATCAGATCACATCATCAGATTTTTACTATACAATCTTCAGGACTATTCACGAAAGTATCAGTATCAATGTGTTTCAGTCTTATTACGATTAATTCTTTAGCTTGCGCAACAGTGTACAGACGTAACAACGTCTCTTAAGAGAAATCTATCCCTTTAAGTATATCAGGATATTGGGAACTGACCATCTACCCCCAATAATCATTAGTTCTTTAAATTCATGACGTAATAAACAACAAAAACGTTTTCATTTAACACTAACTGTATACGATATGCGTTGCAATGTCACAAAAAGTATACAAAGAAACAAACTAAATGTCAAATCATCGTGCAAACAAAAAGTATCATTGCAAACGATTGTTTTTTTTTGTGATGGAAATTTTTCTCGGAAACTTAATCTTTTTCAGAATAATATCAGGGACATCAGCATACTATTATATGTTTCATCCGTGTTCTTTTGTCAATAAACACCGATCAACGGTTTACTAACGTATCAAGGAGAAACATATAAACATAGATTTTTTATATGTAGATAAATTAGACATAGATAACAAGATACAGAGGCTACTTAATTATAATAGGTGATGCGAAGCAAAGATTTTCGGATTTTTTCGAGCGTGGCAATCAAACATTAAGGTGTAACGTTACACCAAATCATGTACTCCGACCGCATATAGACCTCTCCATATAGAGCCACAATTTTTAGGCAGCCGGTCAGAATATTAAATAAAATACTCAAACGCGTCAGATTATAACAGGTTGAGATACATTCAGGCAAGTCTACATGTCTGTGTGTCGCGAGCCTACGTATAAACCTCTGATATTGCATTGCGTTTAATCGGTTAAAGACTAAAATAGCCGGGTTTTGAATATTTACGTTGTCTTGTGTACAAAGGGCCTTAGTAATATCAGTCAAGGAAGGGTTTAAAAAGTTCAAGTACTTATTATTATGATTCAAAAACAAATAGTTTGTTATGTATGTGAACCGGTTGTCGCGTTATTTAATTCCGTGACTTTATTATGTATTTACAATTTTAAAACCGGCTAATGTTGTTTACAAGTACATTTTTGCGTATTTTCCAATCAGGCTTTTAGATTAAGTACATCGAAATTAAAGTATGCCCTCGGCATTAAGACATGCAATTTATTTTTACCTCACTGACTCAGTGGGGTAGTATTTTTCTCGCGTCTTTAAGTTTTTTTTACTTGACTGACGCAGGTCTTGTTTTTCGCGCGTTTACGCTGTATGTATACTAGTTCCATTGTGACCATCTGTAGCCTAAAGACTGATTCAATTTTAACGCGTCATTCAATTCGTATTTTTCCATTGATTATTATAGGGGTGGGTACACAGTCTGATTTATTTAATTGTGCCGAAATATAAGATAAAAACAGGTCTACGACAACAAGCTCTGATATAAATAGTGAATCTATGATATAAATTGCGATGGTTATAGACAACTCGTAGATGTTATCGAAGTGACCTGTTCGTAAAAAGTTGGCTAATTCATCGTAGGAAAAATTCATCACTATTTTTTCGACAATATTTCTTAGAATCATTTATAGCGAATGGCGCGTTTTCGTTACCTAATCAAGTGTCAGATTGATTAGTGAGGGGATATAAACGTTGATATTTTAATAAGGCTAGTGTTGTGCTGATACACCGGCATAGTGTAGGATTTTCTTCCTAACACAAAAACCATTGAAATGTAAATGTTTACAATTAGAAAATATAAATCTTCCACTAGCAGTAGCGGGAACAAAGTGTTCATTGACCCCTATGGATATCGGGAAAACCGGAGGAACTGCAACTACGTCATCATTTGAGAAAGAGGTAGGTTAAATATTAACTATAATTGACTTATACGGATAAATTAAAGAAATTAAATAATTTCATTATCTTACTTCTTACTAATATTATAAATGCGAATGTTTGAATGGATAGATGGATGTTTGTTTGAAGGTATCTTCATAACTGCTGTTTTGTTCTCGTTGTAATTTGACACATAGAACATAGTCTGGAAGAACACATAGGCTACTAAGTTTTTTTTAATACCTCGCGAATGGAGTCGCCGGCGACAGCTAGTTCTATATAGTTACTACATTTTTCTAAGATCTAAATATGTGATGATGTTAATATTTTAAGGTCATCAAAGTCTAAAGTGAGTGGACATTTTTATAATTGTGAACGTGCGTCACATAACGGAGGTATTGTCGTCTTATATTTTTAAAGCCTACTTTATGAAAAACAATGTAAATGTTATGTTATTCTTTAGTTTAACAGTGGGTTTTTACTGTTGTTTCTTTTATTGAATAGCAAAAAATGGATTTTTATATTAGTCGTGAAAACCAAGGATTTCTATTTTTTTTTCGATATTATTATTTTTAACTCAATAATAAAGAACTTGATAATTGACTCATTTAACCTTTATTGTTACTTTCGGTAATACATACAATTGCATTGATTATTTTAATTTATATATTATTTTGTTTTCTTTCTAAAATTTAACGGTGATATACTAGTACGGAAACATAAAAATCTTTTTTTAACACTTACAACAAATATGTTATTTGTCATAGGTGTTAAAAATAGGTCAATTTGGAACTGATAAATTATTAACCTATTTTATCTTACGTTATAAAATAGAAAACTAAATGACCAATAGCAGCTAGCACTAAACTCGTGTAGACGATTCGGCAAACCAAATAGTGTTGGTACTCTTCGTATTATAAATGTTATAAATAAGTACGATTTGGTATAAACCTATTGATATACCATACATTATTAATTACCTAGACAAAAGTTCTTGTCATTTGCATAATAATTCGCTGCGTACGCTCTTCTTGCTAACGTCACAAGCGTGTATATAGAGAGTTGCGCGGGAGTCGATTAAATAGTCCGCATTAAGACGCGGTAGGCATCCCTTAGAACAGTATATTTGCTTTGTATCATTCTGTGTCGGCTCTCGAGGGAGCTGGGTCGTTTCAACTAAAGGTAGGAATTCGTTAGTGGTCCGTGTTTGTGTGTTGATAATTGATTTATTAAAATATATATTTTTTTAAATACAGTTTTATTATTTGAATTTAATTTATAAATTGTAAAATTTATTTTATTAAATAATATTATTTGCAAGTGAAATTGAATCACGTTAGATGAAAATATATTTTCACGTTCATTGTATTCAAAATTTAAGTGAAATAAGTTAATAATTTGTGAATTATTTTTTTTTAAAGTTCGCATCATTATAATTCATATTATTAACAATTATTTTTAACAATAAATACAGTACACGCAAGTTGATATATTTAAAATTTTTAAAACTGATGAAGTATCAGAAATCTTGACTAAGGCACTACAACTATTTGGAGTCCTCTGACGGTTAAAGTTGTGTTTTATAATGGATACTTTTCTTTATAGAAAATGGGTTACACGGCTACCGAAAATGTGGTACAAAGCAGCACGTGGGCTGCAACGAACATGTTCTATGTTCTCCTGGTACCAGCTCTCATCCTCTGGTACGCGTACTGGCGTATGTCCAGGAGACGTATGTACGAGCTTGCTGAGAAATTAGAGGGTCCGCCTGGACTGCCTCTGATTGGAAACGCTTTGGACTTCACCGGGGGATCCGACGGTAAGTCAAAATCGCACGATTAACCGCCGGTTTCTGAGCTAAAATCTCTATATAAAACATAGCGTCATCCAAGTCATTATCTTTGATAAAATAAAGATTGAAAATGTGTTTTAAACTGGGAATGTGGTCTTAGAAACCCACGGTAAATGATAAAATGCATTATTTTTCACAGAAAGTACATATGTAGTAAAATTTAATTTTACAAAACAAAAATATAAGCATAAACGACGATTATAATTACAGATTAAACTTTCATTAAACTTAAGTTTGGTTATATATTTTTTAATTTATGCAATTGTGTACAAATAGGTGTAACATAACAATTAAAACACTCTTAGATTTTTTTCTTTTTTTGTCGCCAGAAATTTTCAGGAACATTGTAAGCAAAAGTTATCCTTACGACAGGGAGTCCGTTATCAAAATATGGATCGGACCCCGTCTCATTGTGTTCCTGTACGACCCGAGGGATGTGGAGTTGATCCTTAGCAGTCATGTCCACATTGATAAAGCTGACGACTACAGATTCTTCAAGCCCTGGCTCGGAGATGGTCTTCTGATCAGTACAGGTAAATATAAAAAAAGGTTTTAAGAATGTTCCCTTTTTTCAATTCTTTGAACTATAATAAAAAGTTCACGTTATGACGTTCCATCTGAACATTAGTCATGCAGGTACTAAGTACGTACTTAGTACTTAGATAGTACGTGCGTACTTAGTACGTGCATGTCTTTAGAATTTAGATTGGAATTTTTTAAAAATAAATATAATACAACAGTCGCCTGATGATTTTTGCACCGATTTGGTACCTGCACACAACCTGTTTAATATAAAAAGGTTTTTTGTACTGCCTTTAATGACGTCATCTCTAACGATGTGGATTATAACATTTTAAATGATTGGTTATATTAATTTCACTAATTTCTCAAGTAAATAATGACAAAGTATGTAAAATATGCACATAGTATAGTCAATAATTCATAAAATAGTCACAACTTGAGTTTATTTACTGGAAAATAAACTGCTTATAGTAAGATTTTTTTGTAATTAATTCTTTATTAAGGTTAAACTTATTTGTATAATATTTTGTAGGCATTAAAATATTTAACAAACGTAAAGTTTAGCTGTTGTACGTATGTGGATTGCTGAACAATGTTTTTTGTTTTTTTTATTACTTTTAGATATTATTAATTACAATCCTTTGGCGCGAATGGTGCGCCTACATTGCAAAGTCGAGTGTCAGAATGGGGACACAGACATTGACATTTTAGTAAGGCTAGGGTTGTGTCAGTACACCGGCACAAAGTCGGATTTTCTTCCTGACATTACTTACATTATTAAAACAATAAAATGATTCACTTCCATATGGCGTACTATATAGAGATGTTTGTAGGTTAAAGATTAACACGGCCAGTTTTCCTCAACAACCCGCTAAGGGCAGTGGTTTAGCCTCAAAAACCTTGTTAATGCATTATGTGACTAGCTTAATAATATCTTATTTCCTGACCGTCTTAAAATATAAACAATATATTTCCTCAATAAATACTATAATATTTATGTTGCATAATATTTATGTATGCGCATGTCGTATGTTTCAAGGAATTAGTTGCATTATTTGATTTAAATTATAAAACTTGATTATGTTAAAACAAATTTATTTATGTATTAAAATGTTAACCAGTTTCTATGTCAAATTATTAAATAATAAGATAAAATAATATTGAAAGAGTAACTATAAATTTGTCGTTAAAATTTGTATACAAACTAGTATGATCCATCTATTAGCTTTTTAAAGAATAGTAGGTACTGTCTACAAATACGGTAGACATGTAAACACACATAATTTGATAGGTACATGGCGATATATCGAAAACTGTAGCGACTTTTTTCATCAGGATCTTGACAAACAGGTTCCAAGCGACTGTTTTTGGCAGCTAAAAAACAAGGGGTCGGCGACGCGTGCCTTTGTAGGGACCTCTATGCGTATATTTTGAACTGCTAAAATCACTGGGTTTGGAAGAATACAATTATCAATATTATTAAGAAATAAGTTTTTGTAATTTGTTCTCTCAAAAAGAAAAACTGAGAAAAAACTAAAAGGCACATAATATTTTAGCGATCCTAATTAAATATATTCAATCTGGTTACATAAGTAAAACTTGATACTGTTGATAATTTGCATGATAACATTCCACAAACTTTTTTGTATAATAAAAACAGGCGAGTCACTATCCTTGGGTACCAATTATGAATAAATTAAACATTCTAAATGTGAATCTCCACTATCATAACAACTCTATTACGGCAATATCGCTATCTCATATTCTATTCGAAGAAACAAGAGATAACAATTGTGTTGTATATCATAGTCAGGACATTTGAGACTAACGGTAATATTAATGTACTAGGACAAAAATGGCGGTCTCATCGCAAGTTGATCGCACCTACATTCCACTTGAACGTGCTGAAGAGTTTCATCGACCTGTTCAACGCCAACTCCCGCGCTGTTGTCGACAAGCTGAAGAAAGAGAGCGGTGTGTTTGATTGCCACGACTACATGAGCGAGTGCACAGTGGAAATCTTGCTTGGTAAGTTCATTATATTTATTACCATAATCAGCTCACTGTACTTGCCCACTGAGAGGCTCGGAGCCTTCCCAAAGTGATGACTGGGCTATAGTTGAACAGGCTGGCTTAGTGCGCGTTGGTTGACTTTACACATATCTTTGAATTTCTTCGCAGATATGTGTAAGTTGCATCACGATGTTTTCCTTAACTGTAAGAACGTCGGATAAATATGAAAATCTAAAATCGAAAAACAGATTGTTACATGGCAAGATTCGAACCTAGATCGCTGTGCTACTGGCCCGTAAGCCACCAATGCTCCTAAATAGTATAATATATCCGGCCACGTTAAGAACATATAATCACGTATTATGTTATTAAAACACAAAAATTATTCGCTTCGTTTTGTCCCGTGCACTTTGTGCTTGTGGTCCTTCGAGCCGGACTTTAAAATATCAAAACATAATTTTGCCCACAGGCAAACATATGTTATATTTTAATTGACAACTCAATAAATCAAAAAAACAATAATTATAAATATTAATTCCGTACATGAATAAACGTGTTTTTTTTCTTCTAACTTGCTAAGAACAAATAAAGCGGTATTTTATAATTATTAGACAAGTTCCGCATTAAATATGTAACCTCAAAGGTTGCTTACCATAAATGTAATAACCAGTTATAAAAATTGAATCAACGGATACAAATTATAAATACTACGTAAACGATTCCTACATTAATTAAATAACAAGAATTGTAATTACATTTATGGTGGTCGATAGAATTGTAGAATACATAACTATTTACTACACGTGTATAATTATAATATATAATATACATTGCTATGTAAACAATATGTGGTCTAAAAGTATTCATTCATTTGAAAAAAATGACGAAACGTCTCAAATATAAAATGTGTTATTTTGAAACAATAAATCATATTAATCCGAAGGTTTTATTAAATTTTATGATTTAGGCAAAAATTGCAATACAATATTGCGTATAATTTCCGCTGACACTAACTCTAGTAGCATTGACACAGATTTAAACATAACTGCAACCTCAGAATCATAATATTTCTCTGTGTCATAGATAATTTTTAAACATAACAAAAAAATATATAGATTTTATTTTTTAAACGAGACAAAGTTCTTTATGACAGATGCATTATTGTTTGTAAAAAAAATTGGGATAAGAGACAAAATAAATGAAATCAAAATTAGTATAATTGTTTTGTTCGTTACAATAAACTGAGCAAATGGAAAAAACTGATACAAATTAGACTGTTTATAGCTACTATAGCGTAAACAAGTAAAAATGTTTTCGAATATTAACTTTTTTTGTTTTCAATAAAGTTCAAGGTTACCACTATATGTGGTGAGAAATATACATACATGTAGTCATCGGCAAAAACGCTACCAGTCGAAAGCTTTTACCGTTGGTTCCTGAGACCAAAGTTTCTGTACAAAACATATCGTCATCCCTGCCTTTCATCTTTGACAAGACAAAGATAACAATATGATTTAAACGGATCTCAGAAACTCACGGTAAGTATGTGCCAGTTGTGTGAGGTTCCTCTCTGCCACACTGACCAATGTTGATTTTAGTTATATGATATAATAAGCAGTCAAAATCCATATTTCCGACATTGATTAATTTCTAGAAGTTGTTAATAAATATTATGTAATACTACAGATGAATTTACCAAAAATATTGTTAGATGGTCTTGAAATTAACATATAAATTAAGTTTTCAATGTTGATACTGCCTTACATCAGTCAAATCAGCATAAGTTACGATCTTATTTTGAATGGAAACGCGAAGTGTTAGTTAAATACTTAATAATGTGTAACTTATAATATAAATTCGAATATTTGGATGGATGGATGAATGGATGTTTCTTAGAAGATATCTTCTGGACGGCTACATCGATCTCACTGAACATTGTCTGGAAAAATATCATATCATAGGCTACTTATAAGGTTTTTATTTAAATTCCGCGCAGAGAGAGAAGCAGGCGATAGCTAGTATTTTTATAGATAAAAAAACGAATTCATAACATTACGGTATAGTACCAGTGTCTCCTTAACTATAAATTTAAATTGAATCAGTAATGTAGACTATAAAACATAAAGAACCGGTATTAATAAACTACATCATAATTATAGACAAGACAAGCTATCGAATGGAAATATACAGACCAAAACATAACATGTTCCATTTAAAAACTTCCATGAGCTTAAGATAGACGTTCTATATATTTTTTCCATTACGTACACAAAACACGTAACTTCCGAAGTTGTTTTTATTTTCAATTTAATGGAATTCATTTACAATAACAAGTTAATATTATCATGTTCATTTTAAAATAAAACACATTTAACAATTTTTTTTTTTCATATTTTTAATTTGCTCCGTTTATTTTCCGGATTGACAGGTGCATTTGTAATGAATACATTCTCTATTGTGACCTCCAATATTTTAACGATTTAACTGATTGTTCTAAAAATAAATCCACCGTAAAATCGTTTTCTCCACCATCCTAAAATTAATCAAACTAATATTATAAATACGAATGCTTAGATGGATGGATGTTTGTTAGAAGGTATTTCCAGAACAGCTGAATGGATCTAGCTGAAATTTAGCATGAATTTAAAACATAGCCTGGACGAACATATAGACGGAGTCGTAGGCGACAGGTAGTTTTATATTAATTCGATGTAAACCAAAACAAATATCAATTTAGTTAATAAAAGAGACAAGGTAATAGGTATGCAATACTTTCGAATGCCATTTGTTCCTGCTATCACGTATTCTTTAGTGTTAACATGTTATTTGCCACTCAATGGAACCCACTAGATGCCATTGAGTATAAAACCTTGAGAGCAAAGATCAAGTTACATATAAAGCTAAAAGAAAATCTTAGATATTTGTAATTAACGCTTTATCTGGCGTTTTTATATTTCCCACTTATTTGTTAATCAATTACTTTTGTAATTAAAAAATAAACCATTTGCATAGCTAAAATAGCAATTAATAATTACACTGGAAGACATTAATACAAGTATATGTTAGAAGAGAATGCAATAAATGCATACAATTTAATTTCTGTAAGGTCAATGCAAAGTAGTTTAGTTTAAATGTCATTATTTCTACGGAACAGGGTCAGAAGAAAATGCGCAGTATCTTACAAACTTGGCAATATCCGCGTGTGACTTCCACTTGCAAATGATATTGAAATCATACGTAACATTCAATTCAAATGAATTATTTAATACCTCGTTATAATAGTCGTCACATTGTTTACTAGAAGTTGTATTAATTACTAGCTGTCGCCCGCGACTCCGTCCGCGCGGGAATAATAAAAACCTTAGCTTATGCGTTCTTCCAGACTTTTTTCTACATCTATGCCAAATTTCATCGAGATCCGTTCAGCCGTTCTGGAGATACCTTTAAACAAACAAACATCCATCCATTTATACATTCGGATGTATAATATTGGTAAGATTATTAATAATAATAAAATGCTCACAAATCACGTCAAGTACGTGACGTACCGTGACGTATCGTGTGTAACAAAGTTATGCATTTCGTGTGATACAGGAAAATAGATAAAACATGTGGCATAATTCCGTGTGAAGTTTGTCGACCACCCACGTTCAAACATATTGGTTATGACAATCGTATGGCGCGAACAATTAAGTATCGTATACCACATATCCTTTCACAATAGGTACTATTACTGCGGGGTCAATAGGTCCATCAGTTTGAAAGAAATAAATACGTGTATCCCGCAAAGGCTTTCGTTATTGCTACGATGATCGCCATTTAATATTCTATTCTGCATCGTTTTAATGCTATAAATCGCTTTGTATGCGAGAAACGAGCCGATCGTGCACTCGATGCGACCGAAAACGGAATACGTTTTAAACAAAAAGCATGCAAAAAATTTTAATGGTTTTTTCCACGTTTTTTGCCGTCATGTTTTATTGTACAAATTCATCATAAATTCGACGAAAATAAGAAGGAAGAGTGTCTAGTTTCGACGGTTCTTCCTGAGTAGCTGAAGTAAGGTGCTTTTAACTAACATGATAATTTTATCTCAATTAAAATTTAATATCAATTTTTTACGTTATGGCTGGTTTCTTTTGTAGAAAACAACTTAAAATTATATCTTGAGTTCATCATAGTGATCTTGCTATTTATCTGTTCATTTTAAATCAAAATAGTAGTAACATAATAACTTACTTATATTATAAATGTAAAGACGTAGTCTAGTTGGTCTATGAAATTTTGAACTATTTATTTTGTTCACAGAGACCGCTATGGGTGTCAGTAAGAGTACTCAAGATCAAAGTGGTTTCGAATACGCCATGGCTGTCATGAAGATGTGTGATATCCTCCACTTGAGACACACAAAGATCTGGTTGCGACCTGACCTGCTTTTCAACTTCACTCAATACGCTAAAGTTCAAAACAAACTTCTTGACGTCATTCACGGACTAACCAAAAAGGTAAGAATTATTTGGATTTGTAACTTCTATCACAAATTTTTATTTTTAAATGTTAAGCCACTAAGAAGTTGTATTTGATAAAAGAAAGTGAACATTTGTAAATTTGTTTTAAAAGGTCATCACAAGGAAGAAGGCAGAGTTTCAATCTGGAAAGAAACCAACAATTGTTACTGAGGTCGAAGTACCGAAGAACAGTTCATCCAAGACCACATCAGTTGAAGGACTTTCTTTCGGTCAATCCGCTGGTCTTAAGGACGATCTGGATGTGGACGATGATGTTGGTCAAAAGAAACGTCTCGCTTTCCTCGACTTACTTCTAGAGAGCTCACAGAGCGGTGTCGTGATATCGGACGAGGAAATCAAGGAACAAGTCGATACTATTATGTTTGAGGTAAAACCGTTTAATGTAAATTATACATGATTGCTCTATTATAAAAACAAACATTTAAAAATAATTTAAATTTATAGGGTCACGATACAACAGCCGCTGGCAGCAGTTTCTTCCTGTCTATGATGGGTATCCATCAAGATATCCAAGACAAAGTCGTTGAAGAACTCGACCAGATATTCGGTGACTCCGATCGTCCTGCGACATTCCAGGACACATTAGAGATGAAGTACCTTGAAAGGTGTTTGATGGAGACCCTGAGGATGTTCCCACCAGTGCCCATCATTGCGCGTCATCTGAAACAAGATGTAACCCTTCGTAAGTACCAGAAGATATTAGAAAATATTAAACAAGAATAATTTTGGTCATAGGCACTTTTTGTAATGGTATAATCGTTACTTTAAATATTTGAGTCCGATCCTTAATATTGTCTTCAACAAGGGAATTGTGACAATATGGGAATATGAAATTAAAATTTAAAAGCTTCTTTTAAAGTCTTATTAAAACGATTTGAGTTATGTGGTAATGGAATATAAAAATATTCCTTGATAAAATAAATTGAACCTTGAGTTTCCGTTTGTCTTTTATTATGGGATAACAGTTTTAGGATAATTGTTAACACGCATTATAATGTTTTGTTAGATACTGTACCGGGTCCTTAATAAGATAATTAACATTCGATAACCGTATCTCTTACAGCATCGAATGGCAAAAAGGTGCCTGCCGGGGCTACCATCGTCATTGCGACATACAAGTTGCACCGTCGCTCTGATGTGTATCCTAACCCAGATACATTTGACCCTGACAACTTCCTACCCGAACGTTCTGCGAATCGTCATTATTACGCTTTCGTGCCTTTCTCTGCTGGACCCAGGAGTTGCGTCGGTAAGTTACTTTTTTGACAATATAAATCGTAGAATCCAAAATAATAATAATTATTTTTCTTGCGTACAAATTGTTTGATATATATAGTAGAAAGGAATTTTTTGTACATGTTACAGCCATCAATAAATTAAAAAAGAGATAAAAAAAATGTTTTAAGAGAAAAATAAAATTCAATGTTTATTACAGGTCGTAAATACGCTATGCTCAAGCTGAAGATCATCCTATCAACGATACTCAGGAATTTCCGTATCCACTCAGACCTCAAGGAATCTGACTTCAGGCTTCAAGCTGATATCATTCTCAAACGCGCCGAAGGATTCAAAGTACGTTTGGAGCCACGCAAACGGATGGCCAAGGCCTTCTAAATAATGACCAAAACGCCTATATCTGTGAAAAATATAGTTTTTTACGGTTTTTAGTGTTATTAGTGCAAATGATACCAGTACTGACTAAATTATTAATAATTTTATGTATAATGGTGGAAGAACTTGTCGAAACGGGTTGTGAAGTGGTTAAAGAATAATATGTTTTGCTCAAATCTGTTACGGTTATATTTTTTTGTAAATAGTTAATTTCTCTCACTTGATTTAAACGAATAAAGAATAATTAATATGAAATCTTGGCGTCTTTATTGCCTCACCTGAATATGTTTATTTAATAAAACTGCTCCTCAATTTTCTAATGTCTTCTATTGTTACTCCTCTATTAAGAGTCTGCTCTGTTTTAGTATCGTCTTCATGGATATTTCTCGTAGATCTTTCGTTCAAACGCATCCTAAAAAGACATGCAAATGCAATATTAATATACATTTATATAATACTAGCTATCGCCCGCGACTCTGTCCGCGTGGATATATGAAAAAACTTAATTAGTGTAGCCTATGTGTTCTTTCAGACTATGTTCTATGCGTATGCCAAATTTAATCGAGATCCGTTCAGCCGTTCTAGAGATATCTTCAAACACCCATCCATCCATCCACATCGCATCCATCTAAACATTCGCATTTATAATATTAGTAAGTTAAATAAAAAGCAGCTATTCAAGGCATAAATTCGAAGAAAAAAGAATAAATCATATCCTATGTCCGTCTCCTGGCTCTAAGCTACCTCATCACCAATTTTCAGCCATATCGATAAAGCCGTTCTTGAGTTATAAATAGTGTAACTAACACGACTTTCTTATATATATAAGATATAGATGAACAAACACATGCTCCTTCACTTTGAATTACCTACTTGACTTTATTATTTTACCATAGATCGTTTATTTGCTACAAAGTGCTAATAATTAATAACATCTACATACCATAATACATCCAATGGTGTTCGCTGATGACTTGGACAAAGGCATGGTACGAATTTGTGATGTTCCTGGTCCACCCACCATGATGCCTTTGATGATTTCCATTCGATCACTTTTACTTTTGCAACAGTACACGAAGCTGCTTTTTCTAGAATTGTGAAGTATGACCCCATAAGTTCTTGACCTATAAAGTCATTGAAATTGTACCGTATTTATTTAAATGGTTTATTAAAAACAAAATAGATTGATAGTAATCTTATGTATATATATGTATGATTTAATTTAGCAACGAAATTTGAATAATGTAAAGGTCAAATCGTTTTCTCTATACATGAAACCCGTTTAAATGAAATGTTTCAACATTCAAATCAGATTCATTCAATATTTGTTGACAATTAATGATTAATGAGCAAGATATAATGACCAAAGTACTCTTTTTTCTTATAACCACCTCCGAATTTCCTGATGTATAATACTTCACCGCAGATTTAAAACCTGTTTAAAATCATACTACCTTATTAACTTCTTACACAGTTATTTTTCTAGAAGTATAGTGACGTATGCTTACCAGCTGAAATTGCCATCATTACTCTAGACTGTTCAGCCTCTTCGTCGAGAACTTCCTGTTTTTGCGTCTTATATATTGTATCGATGTCGGAATATAACGTACTTCTTTGCTTGTTTACACCATAGTTCTGGTCCTAACAAATAATCAGTGAATAGCTTAGCTTTCTAAGTACATAATTCACATAAACCAAGCGCCCATAGCCTAATGGTTAAGAGTACGGATTTCCGATCACGTGGTCGAGAATTCGAAACCCACTACTCGACTATTGTCATAAACCATATATCCTAGCATAAGCCTAGAGCTTAATTAGAATGATTCAAGAAATATTAGAAAATTACATTACAAAATCTGCTTATTATTTTTTACAATATTATGGTCACAGAGCTGTTAATAATTATTTAGTTACAACTTAATTGCCCTACAAAACTGGCCATTAAGAAAAAACTAGTCATTTACCATCTAAAAAAAAACAAAAATCGTACTATTTACTTGTACAATATATCCCATAAAACACATAAACGCTTCTTCTAGATGCTGTGTTCCAAGATCAGGTCTCTCTCTTTTCAAGTGCAGTTCACCGAGTAAATGCAAAGCACGACCTAAATGTCGACGAAAGCCATTCTGCATTGCCAACGCACCCATTTCAGTAAGCAATTTGGCGGCAGTTTCGTGGTCGCCTAATCTGTTAAACAATAAGTAACGATCAAACTTTCTAAAACAAACTACAAACTAATTTATTTAATGGAGTCAATTTCTTTTAAACACGCGATATAACGCTTCTAAAGAAGACAATTATGAAAACCAAATCTGTAATTTGTAAAAAAAACGTGGGATATCCCTAGTTCTATTTTAACCCAATCATAAGACATTGATTTTTATTTGTGCTCGTGCGTAGGTTTGCTAAAATTTAGAAAAAAGAAAGAACCAAAATATCTAGACAAGTATACCTTTGTCGCACGGCAGCGAGGTGCATTTTCGAAATACACAAACCATTAATATCATTATTAGCTTCGTATATTTTATAAGCTTTTTGAAATGATTTAAGAGCATTATTTAAACTGTTCATTGCTAACTGACTGATGCCAATTTCAATGACCGCTTCTGCTGCTTTTGGGACATCTCCAGCTGTAATTGGTTAAATAAAATTATTCTAATGCTAAGTGCCATATTCCGAATCTTTTAATTGCCGCTAAGGGCGAACCCTGTCGACAATTATTGCTTTAAAAGACCGTCAGTAAAAATGCTTGCAATGTCCGTGTCTCAACAATTTTTCATAAAATACGTCATTCTGCAATACAACTGTCGACTGTAGTGTTTTATAATTATATTTTAATATTTATTACATTATTATCTTACCATCTTTAGCTCTTCGTTCAGCCAACCGTGACAATCTTTCTGCTTTAGCCGGATCTTCGGCTCGAACAGCTCTTGCTTTACTCATTAATACTCTGTGTAGTTCCAATACTGTCACTATGAAAACAGAATTTGGAGCATCCCTGAGTGCTTCAGTGATTTCACTATCATTCTCAAAAAGAGGCCACTCCTAGAATGATGAAAATCGATTTGCAGTATATTGCACTTCTTACTTATATTATAAATGCAAATGTATAGAAGGATGAATGTTTATTTGTTTGTAGGTATCTCCGGCACTAAGTACCTTTAGTATATTCTTAACAATTTTACCTTTCCTATTGCGCTATCACGTACGTCCGAAAAGATTTCATACGCCTCTTCCATATCTGCTGAACCTGGAACTGATAAATACTGATCTTCATAAAAATGAACTTAAGGCCCGATTACAAGCATAAGAAATTGAAAACTTACATTTATTAAGCAAAAATGAGGCGTAGTGATATTTACAGCAAGCTTTTTGTCTTCCACCATCAAGTAAATAATGACTTGCTACTGCTATTGCGGCTAGGAAAAATTTTTCCGCCAACCACAAGATCCCTTTTCCTTTCTCAGAATAGTACAAAGCAAGCTTGAGCAACTCCAAGCACTCTTTCTTTTTGTTGTCTGCAAATAATAAAATTGTATAAAAAAATATTTTCGGTGGGAACTCTCCATAAATCCAGGCGTTTACCTCTATCACGTTCCCGTTCGGCTCTTTGTAGACCAGCACAAATATGCTCCAAAAAGTCCTCCCTTTTCCTAATATCAACCACTATGCCAATTTCATCTTCTGCTAGAATCTGAATATTATCATAAATAAGATCTTGTAGATAATCCGAGGATTCAAAAAATCCAGCTTCTTTTAATTCTAATTCAATGCACTCGTGCAAAGGTAATTTATGTCTGAAAGCGAGAAATATAAGTTAAATGTTCTACTAAACTCATTGTCGGTGTGTATTACCAGATAAATGTACACCTTTAATATGCTATTAAGTTTTCCAACTTTAACCACAATAACAGAGTCTTAAGAAGTTCGTTTGAAACCTGATCCCACAAGTAATATAGGGTAGTAAGTTCCTGATGTCTTTGACACCGATTTCATGAATATAATTACATTAAAGATTACTGTTTACCTTCGAATTCCTCTTGCATCAAGTGTATCTAAGCTGAACAAAGCCTTGTTTCTCATATTTTCAAGACTGTTTTTAGTCATGCATGCCATTAACTTTGGCAGCTTTCGCTTTTGGGGTATTTCGAACGGTTTTGCCATATTTAATGATGTAAATAATGTAATTATTTATCTAACAAAACTCATGAAAATATCTTTTGTTGACAAAATAAACTTTTGTTTTTTATTATCGTCCTGACAACCGATTGAATACTTTTTGGATTATTTCTTATACTCATCAATGACATTTTGTACCAAAAAGTATAGTTTATAATCTTACTAAAATTAATCTTTTATATGAATGGATGAATATTTGTTAGAAGCTGTCTCTAGAACGGCTAAAGGGATCTTGCTGAAAAACATAGATGTAGAATATAGTCTGGAAGAACACATAGGTTACTTGTTTTTTTTTAATTCCGTGCGGACGTAGTCATGGACGTCAGCTAGTTTAAAATAATAAATTACGTTCTAGAAACAGTCATCACACCACTCTCCTTATAAGTTTGGATATTGATCAGATTGAAAAATCAAGTAATCAATCTAACCTATTTAATATAGATGATAATAGAAATACTTTAATTGTAATTAATTTGAAGATTCTATACTAGGACTGTTTTAATAAAATTTTATCGTTCTTAAATTGTTTTTGTTTAAATTGCCTTGGTTACCAAAAAATCATTGACATAAAAAAAAATGTTATACTACCGGTTCCAACACATTAAAATTTAACTTATAATTTTTTTCGACTACTTACAAATTGTAATACATTTAATATTACGTAAGTTTTATAATTGTTAAGAGATGTTTTCATCTATAAAAAAACATGCACATCTGCGAAACAGACTACCTTTGTGTAAGACGGATAAAAAATTATTAAAAATAACCCAGGCATATTTTATAAACTTATAAAATAAAAAATATATATTAAGGTAGATTCCATTCTTTTTATTGTGCCATTTTATTATTTCTGTTTCGGTTTTCTTCACAAGCTGAGGTTCATTATAATTTAAATTAATAAATAATATCCAGTTTTTCTTAGAAATGTGTTATCAGATTCTACTTTCTTACATCCTCTTTACTTGGTGTTATATCTGGAGTCTGTGTGCTGACGTTAACTGGGTTTTTGACGACTACTGAAGAGGCTTTTGGTGGAGGTTCCTCATTATCGTTCCTTTCTTCTTGTATATTGTTGGTAGAACCTTCTGAAGTTTCTTCGCCGGTTTGACTTTTCTTTGCATCTTTTAATGCTTTAAGCATTTCTGAAACATAAATAACAATTAAATGATTAATATCGTGTCTTTGTTCGACATATTTGCGAATAATGGCCATATTTTGATTACACTGTAAAGTATTTAACGCGAGAAAACTATTGTTTTCAGGAAGCGCTGCATATTTTTGTTTTATTTAGACGACATAATTATTGTTTTAGCGTTGCAGTTAATTTAAGTTTTAATTTTACCAAAAGCAAACCTATGTTCTCTTCGCAGTGTCTTTTCTATTAGCAGTAGTATTATCTCAATTTTTCTCTGCTTTGTTTTTAATAAGCTTTTAGTAAAATTTACGTTGATTTTACAGTATAATTGTTATTACGAGAAAATATTTACCCCTTCGAAAGTTTCCTGATAAAGGCATTGTAAATTGTTTTTCTTGTCATGTGTACATTTTTAATTAAATTCATTTATCATATTTATCGTCATAATGAAAATAATTTGTTGAATACTTTATTTAATTCGATAAAAGTGATATTTGTTTGACAAATGACTTTGATGTTTTAACGTTTTGCACCGTTGTCAATGAATTATTTAAAGAGAGTAAAATAACAGAGGAACCTCTTTGTAGAATTTAAAATGTTCATATCCACTAGATCGTATTATCATTATTTCAAAAGGCTTTTTTATAATTATCAACGTAGCCAAAGCTAAATAAAAAAAGCCATGCACACACTAAGGTTCTACTACTAAGTAGTTTTAAGCTAGTTCTTCTGTTATACAAAATTAAAGGATACCTAAATTTGCACTTATCAATGAATAAATCCCCGGATTACCACTTTTCATGACTTTAAGCCTTACCTAAAAAACGATAAATACTATTGCAGATAAGACACATAAATTTTCTGACGAATTATTTCCCTTATTACAAATATCTCGTTTTTGTGAGCTGAATTTAATTTTCTTTTTCACATTTTGCTGAAAGTGTTTGCTTTAAGATCATCTCGAAACTATTTCAAGAGTTTTATCACAGTATTAATTATAAATTATAATTAATATTTTTATACTGTGATTAAAATTTAAAAAGCAGAAAACAAAAAGTTTTCGTGTATGCTTAAATGTTTTTTTTTTGTTGCTTTGACAAAGCAAGATCCCTGTGAACAAGACCTAAAAAAATTAAAACCCAGTAATTAAGCAACGTTTCTACGTTCTGTATTTAATATAATTATTGGTTATTTTAAAGGTAATTAAAAGTACATTTGTAATAAAGCAATTATGTAATAATAGACTACGATGTTACTTTAAAAGCTGTGAGTTTTCTCGTACTTTTTAATACTACTGGTTGTATAAAGGGTTAGTTTAACAAAATGAACAACGACATAGAGAAAGTTTTAAAACAAAAAGCTATCAAGAGAGTTAATACTTACCTCAGTATTATTGGCTTACAACTTAAAAATAATGAATCTGAACAAAATATAAAACGCCTTGTTAACAGATGGTTCTTTTGTATAAATTATATAAGTCTTTTCTATGATGTTTTGGGAGAAATATCTTGGATATTAAAAGGATCGCTTTCTGGAGATTTAGCTTTGATTGACCTAACACTTTTGGGTCCTTGCCTCACCATGTGTTTTCTGGGTTGTGTTAAATCTTATTACTTTTATAAAGAAATGCCTCACGCTTATGACTTAATTGAAGAACTTTGTCTCCTGTATTCTGATGAAACAAGAATTGTTTCTGAGGAGAAAACAAAGTATTTGCTATCTCATATGATTTTTCTTAATAGAGCTCTAAAATGTTTGATAACTTTGGATTCAATAGGTATCGTTGCTTTTAGTATTGGACCTGTTATAATATCAATATCTCAGTATTATACAACTGGTGAATTAAATCTTTTACTACCCTTTTTTATTTTGTACCCATTTGATGCTTTTAATATTTATGCGTGGCCTTTTGTGTATATCCATCAAGTGTGGTCAGGTATGTTTTCAACTTTTAATATTAGTAGATTTTTTTTTAATTATTAAATATTTCTAATTTTTTTTTCTAGCTGTTCTTGCTGTGTTTACTGTACTGGGTCCTGATAGCTTATTATACACATCATGTGTAGTAATCAATGAGCATTTTTATGAATTGAAACATAAAATTAAACTTATATTTGATCAGCATGATCCTGTATTAGATATGCAAGATAATGGATTGAAGAGAAAAATTGTAAACGTAGTTGAATTTCACAAGCAATTGATACGGTGAGTTTTACGTAAGAAATAAATATAATTCGATCTGTATTTATATAATACAAAAGTATGTTGTAATATATGTCTATGTGTATCCATACATATATAAAAACATCAATCATTAATATACAAACAGATATAAATTTAAATGTACATAGTTATGCAGGCGTCAAAAAACTTTACAATAACTGAAAATTTAATTGTAAAGGGACAGTAAAATAATCATGTTAATTTCTTCTCTTATCTAAATTTATACTATTTGTTAATATTATGTTACCAACAAAGCATGTTGAACATCGATATTAGTCTGATAATGCGTTGAATTTTGCATAGAATATAATAGTAGGCGCTTTCTATACAAAGAAAAGAGCTAAGTAGTATAAATAATTACACTGTAAAGTTTATATTTTTTACAGATATTTACATTTGATCGAGACAATTTATTCGAAGTCAACATTATGTAATGTGTTAACTAGCTCTTTGCTCATTTGTTTCACTGGTTTTAATGTGATGGTATGTTAAGGTTTTTATTAAATTTATCAATAATTTTAATTGTATTTATTAACTTGAGTATTTGAAGTCTTTTTTAAACACATAAAACTGTACGATGTGTAAGTTGTTCATTTTTACATAACTTTGTTAGTTTATTTAATAAAAAAAATTAATATCCCTTTTTGGTAAGTTATTAACGAAGAGGGGTCTTAACACTATTTGTTCTATAATTTTTTCGTATTCTAGGCAGTTGATAACCTCATAATGGTGATGCCGTTTATTCCTTTCTTACTAATGGTGGTTGGGCAAATATTTTTATTATGCTACTATGGAGATTTAATACAGAAATCAGTGAGCATGTTACTATTAATTAATCACACTTTGATACTCAATTCTTACTAAGGTATACAAATCTTAAATCTTAAAAAGAAAAAAAAGTAAGAGACTAAAGAGTAACAAAATATTTTTTTCTCAAAGATGTTGGATGTTTCCCTAAATATTTGTATTACGTCAACTGTAAGTAGCCACTATCTACACATTTGTACTATTATGAATGGTTTTTATTTAAGTTTTTCTCATATAGAATGAGAAATAAGGTTGTATATTTTTTACGTGTCTTTCCGCATTAAAAATGCACAGTAATATCATTACAATTAACACAAAACGTGTTTCAGAACGAAGGATTAAGTGATGCCGTGTATAGTAGCGCTTGGTATGAAATTAGATCACCACTCACCAAAAATCTAATAATTATATTGATTCGGTAAGTATTTTAAGCCAATAAAAATATTATTAACCGTTAGTTAAACAGGAAATAACCTTGTTACAATTGTATACCAGTTTTATTACGTTATTTAACGACATTATTTGATAGAACGTTGCTATAACATCGGTCTATTAGGGCTATCTATTCAGATGGATGTGTTTTTCGAATTAATTCATATGCCGGACAAAAAAAGGAATAAAGTTAACCACTGCCAGTCATATTTTAAATTAATATTAGAAAAAGATTATTAAATTTACTTGTCTCATAGTGGGTTTCTGAGGTGTAATACATATTGTTTTAAACCCTTTTTTGTCAAAGATATGACGATATAAATAACCAATTGTGAGATGTTTCTTTTTTGTTTATAGTATCAAACCTTATTTACAGAGCTCAGAAGCCATTTAAATTCACAGCATATGGTTTCATGGATATCAATATTGCTGCGTTTACAAGGGTAATTATTTTTTTTATATATAATATATTTAATTATTTACAAATTCCGAAAGACATTTATTTCTTTTGTTTCAGATAATGAGCACATCCTGGTCATATTTTGCTTTACTGTTATCATTTAATAACAGCGATTAATGTATAGAAATACTTCGCATCTTCATTCTAATCTAATCTTAATAATATAAATGCGTATATTTTAATGTATGGATGGATGTATGTTAACTAAAATATGTCTTCAGAACGGCTGCATGGATATCGCTTAAAATTTAGCATAGATGTAGAACACATAGGCTACTAATAAAGTTTTTTTTCTAATTCCGCGCGGACTGAGTCGTAAGGGACAGCTGATAAATATATGAGATTTACTTACTATATTTGAAAATTAACTATTATTTATTTTAGTTGTATATTATAATTGGTAAACAATAGTTTTATTTACGAAGTAAATATGGAATCTATTAAATATAATATATTATTGTTAAAAGCATTTCTGTGTAATCACTTATTTTAATAATTACTAATATTATAAAGCGATGCATTTGTTTATTTATATATAATAATACTTATTTACAATATGCTTTGTACATATGTATCGTAAGTATATGTATACACTTTTACAACAGTATATTTCAATAATACATTTTGTTATGACCAAGTTGGACTGAGGTCAAACTTTTGTTATAACTTTTCTTCTTTTTATAAGTTGTATACAAAACTGAGACAAACTTGAGCTTGCCAAAATAAGCTTTTATTATATTTTATGAATCGTTTTCCTTGAAGAGGTTTGATATTATAATTTTGTCTTTTAACAATGATGCCTTTAACCGCTTACGTATTATATTAAAGACTTATGACTCATATTTTTTTTATATCATAAGGTGTCGAGCGAGCGGCCACCTAAAATCGCTGAAATAGCGAAGTGACCGTTGCCCATAGACATACGCAATTGCATATGGGTTGCTTACCTTAACCTTATGTTTGATTGTTGTAATATTTTGTATATGTGACTGGAACTACTGAACTGATTTGAAAAATCTTTCAGTAATGGAAAGCTACACTGTCCTCGGTTAACATAGGCTATATTTTAGACTTTAATTAGCCCGGCTTGCCCGTTGAAATACCACGGCCACACAGAAGACAGGCGTCAAGTGGAAGCAATTCTGCGTTTCGTCTGATGAGTGTCCAGGAGACCTAATTTAGTCCTCTTTCCCTTCCCACCCTTTTTCTTATAAGGGAAGGATGGGAATTGGAAGTGGACTTTCCGGGTGAGAGGATGCATGGAAAGAGAAAATATTTTCTTTCTTTGCATTATCTCCTCCGTCGATTAAAGGTAGGCAACGCATATGCAATTGGGTATGTCTATGGGCAATGGTCACTTCGCTATTTCAACGATTTTAGGTGGCCGCTCGATCGTTTGGCACCTTATGATATAAAAAAAATGTTAACAGATTTTTTTATTCCGCGCGGACGAGGTTTCGGACAAATGATAGTTTAGTTAATAAAATTTCAACGCAGGAAAAAAATTTATTACTTAATTTTGTACAAAAAGTTGTATTAGTTAAATTTATCCAAAAGCATGAAAGAAAACGTGTACATAATGATATAGAAAACTCCCTTGATTATTTCTGTATTTTGGTCACGACTTCATCGAGGCCAATTGGGGTGAGATAAAATATATGAATATTAATATTATTGATAATTCACCTCACGGTTCTGTCGATTATTTTCTTTCAATCGTAAAGCAAATATTTTAGATAATTTACTTAAGACAATCTAAAACAAACCAGCTTTATGGCTGCTATGACCTAAATATTCTGTCGCAAACAGATAAATTGGCTAGATTTAGTAGGATTATGTAAGACACAGCTAAATATAATTTAAGTTAAGTAGTTGATCGAATACGTTTATGAACATAAACATAGCTACAAAAATAAACAATTAAAACAAAATTTTATAAAAACAATACTGTTGGAATTCACATGTTTTTTTTTCGTTTTATCAACCTGGAATTGATAATAATCAAAAAGGCCAGCGTTTTGTACATATTTAATTAAACCCCTGGTAACAGCTCGGTTATACTTTTTACCATAATATTACTTTCAGAGGGAAAAAAATTTACATTTAACGAACGCGTGCACAATTTCTTTTTTAAAAGTTTTTTTCATTTTTTAGCTATTATTAAAAGAATATATGAAAACTTATTCAAGTTATATATTTTATTTTATTTTACGCGCAACTAAAAATATGTCGTAATAAAAATTACATTGAAGAAAAATTTGTTAAAAGTATAGATTTTGTACTACGAGTCTCTAAGAATTATAGACCAGACGACCTCAATGTATGCATGAGTTAGATAACGCTATGAAATACGACCTAACCTATGAATATCCAGTACTTTATAAATCGGTTGAACCTTATAAAAGTATAATACTTTAATATTTATCAAATTTAAGCTGATCCTGGGATATTATAATTAATCAGTAATCATGTAAAAAAAAAGAAAAAATATTTTTTTTTAATTTCGGTATTTCATGAGGCACACGCACTAGCGGCCTCAAACCTAATAAAGTTTCATCAAATTTGTCCATTGGTTTACTGCAAAGTGTAATTAAATTCAATATAACTAAACTATATATCGAATCACATTTGCCACGTCAATATTGTTTTCAAAGCCATTGAACGTGACCCAAGCCTTATTGACTTTACTTTGTGAACGGGTCAACCCGACCTAATTTTATCTGACAACACTACAATCTAATCTAACTTATATTATAAATGCGAATGTTTAGATGAATGGATGTTTGTTTGGAGGTATCTCTAGAACAGCCCAACGGATCCGGCTGAAATTTGACACAGACGTAGCACATAGTCTAGAAGAACTCGTAGGTTACTAGGTAAGTATTATTTTCAATTCAGAGCGGACGGAGTCGCGGGCGACAGCTAGTATATTATAAATGCAAACGTTTAGATATATGGATGGATTCAACGGATCTCGATGACGTTTGATCACAAAACATAGTCTGGATGAACTTAGGCTATTTATATATATTTTTTTAATTTGTGTAGAAGGAGTAGCTGGCGACAGCTAGTCTTCAATAGTAATAATATAATGAGTAACATTTTATATAAAAACAGAAAAATAAATATAGTTGTATAAAGCAGATAGCTGATGAAATTAAATTATTTGGATTACTTCTAATTGTTACTAACGAGACTTTGGTTTTACCAACGCCAAAGTAATGAACCGATTTACTTATTCGTAGTTCGGTTAGTTTTACATTAGCGACCAAGTTATATAATATAGTTGTTGCACGCATATTGATATTAATCAAAAGTTAATTGCTTTGTTCCGGCATGAGTAATTACTTTACTACAGTTAAGCAGGAAGCTGTAGGGTTGATTTGTATTGCAGATAAGCATATTTTGAATCGGTAACGCTACTAAAATAAGAAACTACGAAATACTAAACAGTATTATAAGAACTTAGGAGACATTCCTTGTAAAGATTTATCATAATTTCGACTTGTTGTTTCTATTTGTTTATTATTTTTAAATTATTGCTTATAAAATTAAATATTAATATAATACAATATTTACATATAATAAGACAAAATAAGTTGCTCAGTTTGTGGTAAAAGAAAAGTGCTGAAGCGTGTGTAACGTTAACGATACAACTGTGACATACATTTGTATTGTTTGTGACGAAGTTCCAAAAGAAATGCATATCATCATCATCATCAGCTCACTATACGTCCCCACCGAGGGGCTCGGAGCCTAACCTAAGTTAAGGGTGATTAGGCCATAGTCAACCACGCTGGCCAAGTGCGGGTTGGTTGACTTCACTCACATCTTTGAATTAAATCATATTTTTAAAAAAATGAATAATTTTGCGAAAACTCAACCTGTTTAACACAAATATGAAAGCTTTAAAAGCAAAGAACACTGAAAATGTTGCTTTATGCATTCTTTACTATATCAAATATTCAAGTCTCGAATCATGACACACTCGTAGTACATTAATCATGACACACCCATGTTAATGTAGGTAGCGCGCCCATCGATAAATAAAAACCCATCAACTGATACTGAGATTTAATACAACACTCTCACCCTAATGTATTATCAAAGCCATGAAAGCAACACATTGTATTCGCAAAGTAAACTTGAATAAAACAGATTGTACAAACACGAGTTTCGATTGCCGTGGGATTTGTACAGAAACATTGTCGTCTCTCTCATTCGATTTGAAAAAACTGAAATAACAAATGTTTTGTACGGATAACCGATTCAGAGTAAATTCACGATATCAATGTGCCAAATACTTATCTACAACATAATTCATGTTTAATAATTTGAAATGGATAACTGAATTTTGAAGGCATTCTGCCTTATCTTAAACTAGCTGTTGCCCGTGATTCTGTCCGCACGGAATTAAAAGAAAGCCTAAGGAGCCTAGGTGTTCTTTGGGGTATGTTCTACATCTGTGCCAAATTTCAGCGAAATTTATGCAACTGTTCTGATGATACCTTCTAACAAACATCTTTCCAAACATTTGCATTTATAACATTAATAAGACTATATAACACCAAACTTCGATATACTTGGTCTATATTTTCTTATTTACAAGTCTCTACTGTATAAGTGCACTTTGCTCGAGCGGGTAAATTATTGCCATGTAAGCTTATCTTTTTGAAATACGAATGCTTTCCTTTTTAAATGTAAACAGCGTTAAAAATATTGATGAAGAAAGTTGTAATTTATTAAAGAAGAAATTCAAAAAGAGAAAAGACAATTACTTCATATTTGGAACTTTAGGGCAATTGGGAGTTATTGTATACAATAAAGTTTATAAGTAGGCAGTTTCCTCGTAAAAAAAACCTCCACAGCGGTCCACAGCTGTGTTGAAAACTTATTTGAATCAACATCATCTCCATAATCAGCCTAAATATGTCCACTGCTGGACGTGTGCCTCCCCCATCGATTGTCACAATGCCCCGTCCTGTGCCGCCCGCATCCAGTGCACTCCCGCAACCTTGACCAGGTCATCGGTCCATCGTGCGGGAGGCCTACCTACGCTGCGTCGACCCGTCAAGCGTACGTACGTGCTTATTTGAATAGTTTCTAGATATTATTTG